CATCATCGTTTTATTGGAGGATATGCTTTCAAATCACTGCAGTGTGGTTTGTTGAGTTCATGACGCTTCACTACCCGATAACTATGGTGAAATAGATCGCCATATATGTGTGGTATCGCGTCATGGTTAAATTATTCTGGAATGTCCTAAGAACTTGAATTCACAAACAAGACTTCGAAAACCGGAGGAAAATTATGAAATCTGAAGGCAATCGGAAAAATATGTTAAAATCGGAAAAAATCGGAACGTCGGAAAGTCATTGAAGACACTCTGAAAAAATCGGAACTTTTCCTGCCGTATCGAAAGATCTGGCAACCCTGGGTGGGATGTCTGTAATGGAGTGGAAGAAGGGGGAGAGTCGCCAAACCTCGAACTTAAAACTTTCAATCACTATTTTCTTCGAAAATATGCGTGAGTTTCACAAAATGAGTGGTTGTATTATAATTGCCTTTCATTTTCATCTGTTTATTTTTTTCTATTTCGGAACGATGTTTATGCATTTAAAATATGCCTCTTCATCTCATGAAATGAAATAGCCATTATAAAAATTTAATGAAAAATTTGTCAAGAAATAGTTTTTGAAAACATATTTTGGACGGGGCGGGGCGGGGCGGTGACGGTTTCAATGCTGAACAGGCGGGGCGGTGGCGGTGCGGAACGTTATCAACGGGGCGGGACGGGGCGGTGACAGTGCGACTTTTTTGCTGACTCGTCCATCTCTGTATCATATCATTTCGGGTTCTGGCTTTGATGTCGGCCAGTGACGTAGCGAGGGATTTTCTATAGGCTGAATCTGAGCTTCAGAGCATGGGACCCAGCTGAACCTTATGGAGCATGATATTGGACCATAATAATGAGCCTTTATGAAGAAATTCTTGCGATTGAAGTTTGCGAAAAAATAATTTATTTTCCAGCACCCTCTAAAAATTTTCTTGCTTTTAGTAGTATTCTGTTTTTTTTTGAGTTTCTTCATAATCTACACCGAATTTCATAGACAGATTTAAAATGTTATCTAAAAACATGCGCCCGTTTGGAAGTTATAACGTTTTGAATATTACCAAACATTTTGTGACATTTTACAAAATCTCAAAACATTATAACTTCCGAACGAATGCATGTGCTTAGATGAAATTTAAAATCTCTCAATGAAATTTGATGTAAATTATGAAGAAAATCTAAAAAACGGAATACTACCAAAAGGAGGAGAATTTAGGGAGTGCCCAAAAAAAAATGTTTTTTTCCGCAAACTTTAATCGCAAACATTTCTTCATAAAGGCTCATTGTTTGGGCCCAATATCATGCTCCATAAGGTTCATCTGGGCCCCATGCTCTGAAGCTGACATCCAACATATAGAAAAATCCTGGCTGCACTCTGGTCTCGGTTCCATATATCTGTGCTCCTGATCGAATTTACTGTAGTCGATCGATTTGTCCATGAAATCTAGTTAACTATTTCGTTCATTCGCCAGTTCACAAGTATCTTATATTCATTTGATCGTTTGACGTATTTTAATTTCATGATTCTGTGTATATCGAACATAATTTGTGCGCTTCTTTTTTCTCAATATATTTAACAAGTCAGTGATTAAAGAGATAAGAAATGAGAAATCGATAAAAACTACGAATTTAATGGGACCGGATAAAAAGAATACGGTTACGATGTTAAATTTTGTGTGAATAAAGAAGACAGTGAAAAAGGCTTCCGATCGCGACAAAATTCACAACAGTGAAGAAAAGAAGTTTTAGTTCATTCATTAATGTAACTGAGTTAGGAAGACAATCTTCGCCAATCACAATGAGTTACTACATAAAAGACCACTTACTTTGAGTCAAATTGTAGAGCGTCAATTTTAAAGATGAGACAGCTGCGTGCCAACCAACAAAAAGTAGGACTTAGGTCAAAGAGCTTTATGCTTCATGATAGTGTATTGAAGTTAATATGCACAATTTCAGTTCTACTGCCATTTCTCAGATCGGTGGTGGAAACTTAAAAACCACGAAACACTTGACAGGAATGAATTCCAAATGCTTCGGTTAGTAGAATAGTCTGTGACAGTCAGATCAGAAATAGGGATACAACGGTGACGGTGGTCACCGGCCACCAGTCCACCAGCTCACCGCTCACCGGTCTTACGGATCATAATGTATTACGATTAAAGTTACTCGAATCGCACTGATTCCAGTCAAAAGTGACTCTGTTCATTTCATAAACGAGAAGTGATTATTCAGCCGGTACACTTCCAGCGGCAAGAATAAATCTTCACATTTGTTACGCATCATCACCCCTTCCCCCTCCCACACACACAATGATGCCTTGGCGACTACCGCACTGAGTGTATGCAGAAGAGAGATAAAATGAGTATTTTCATACAACTGAGATTTCCTAGAGTAAGGGTATCTCAATATCAAGAATACCTTTCCTAATAACTTGAAAACACGGTCGCAACTGATCCGTTAAGGTCGCGCATTGAGGCTCGCGATGACCAGAAATACCCATGTAGCGGCCATCACCGTAGTTTTTCATGACTCTACCCGTTCTATAGCCGCCTTCATAATCACACTAATCTGTGAAAAAAAACGATTTCCACCTACTGTATTATCGTGGAGCAAGTATCGTAGTTTTGAGCACCACCACAAAGACTAATAGTGCCGGTTGGGCCATCAGCAACCTACGATGATCACCGGTTTGTATTATTACGCGACCATGTTGAGGTTCAGGACTACTACTAATGGTAATGCATTCACCATCACCATAGGTTTTCATGGCGCTACCTGTTCTATAACTGGTTTGATCATCCTGCTCATGTGTGAAGAAAACGATTTTCATCTACTGTAGTATCGTGAAGTCAACATTATAGTTTTCACCATCATGACGAGAACTAATTATACCGGTTAGGACCTCAGGAACCTACGGTGACGACCGGTTTCTAGCATTACTCGAACCGATTAAATTTCAGGGTGACTAGTAATGGCCACGTCGCGGCCATTGCCGCAGGTTTTCGTTGTGCTAGCGGCTCTATAACTGGTTTTATCACCACACCTATGTATGATAGAAACGATTTCCATCTATGGTTGTATTGTACAATCAGAATTATAGTTTTGAGCACCACCAATAGCACTTATGGTGCCGGTAGGAGATCAGGAACCTACGGCGACAACCGGTTTCTAGTGTTATTCGAACGTTTTCATGTGAATGGTGACTAGTAATGGTCATGCATCGACCATCACGTGGGTTTTCATGGTGCTACGGATTCTATAAGTGGTTTTATCATCACAGTTATGTATATAGAGCATTTAGATCTACCATAGTATCGTAGTCACTATTATGGTTTCCAGCATCACCGCAAGGACTAATTATGCCTGTTAGAGCATTAAAAAGCTACGATGATGGTCGGTTTCTAGTATTATTCCAACGGTTTGGAGCTCAGAATAAGTAGTGGTGTCCATCTAGCGGTCTTCACCGTATGTTTTCATGACTCTACCGATTTTATAGCGGGCTGTATGTACACAGTCATATTTGAAAACAAATTTTTCATGTGTGACAGCATGGTACACTCAGTTGTATAGTTTTGAGCATTCCCAGGAAGACTAATACTGCCGATTGATACATCAGGAACCTACGGTGATGATCAGTTTCTGCCAATATTTGGATGCGTTGATGCTCAGGGTAATCAGTAATGTCAATCTTGCAGTCATCATCGTAAGTTTCCATGTTTCTACCGGCCTTTTTGTTAACCTGATCCTTATCGTCAGGTATGAAGGATATGTTTCATTTGTCCTAGCGTCGTATTACGTGGAAAAAAACTTCGACTACCACTGTTAAAGTCGATACTCTCAATTTGGAACCATGGAGACCTATGGTGCTCACTGATTTCTACCATTATTCAGACGGCTTCTGGCTCAATGTATCCGGTGGTGCAAATACACTAGTCTCCGCTGTAGGTTTCTGTATTCTTACCGGCTTGATCCTCCGGCATGTCCCAAATTTCTGATGAGCATTTACAAAAATCACATTATTAGAATAAGGGTTCACTTATCACCGGAAAATTAAGTGCTCGAGTTTCTGGGATGTACCGTATACTACAGACGGAGGACTACAATAAAAAATGACCGGCGCACCATGCCACCGTTCCACCGCACCACCAGTGCACCGTCCACCGATCTCATCGGCCCGCCAGTTCACCTGTTGGTACGGTGAATCGGTGGGCTGGCGCCACCAGTACTACGGTGGATCGCTGAGTGGTACACCGTCATCGGTGCATCCGTGAAGGCAAAGCAAGTCTAGTCTCACAAACACTGGTGACAGTTAACGCACGGAGGCCATGATTACAGACGAATTTAGCAGGATGTCAGCGCAAAGTTTCAAGCAATACGGAAAATCATGCGAATAAAAGCATTATTTAGGCCAAATAAAGGTTCCTAAGACGAGTGACCGGCTAATTCGTTGCCGAACAATTCGTCGCATGAATAATTCGTTGCAAGACTATAATTCAATTATAAAATTGTCCTGCGACGAATTGTCCTAGCACTTGCAAGACGGCTAGTGAGAACACTCAACTTACCAAATTATGTCTTTAGGTCAAGGCGAATAGTGTTAGATGACATAATGTCCTGTGTGAAAGGAAAACCAAAAACCTGCGGGCCACTCGCCGATAGGATGTAGGTGTCAGTAGATGAAGAGAGAATCCACGTCCTCATCCATACCCACATCAATGAACACCCACAATTACACCCATGCCTACACCCAGGCCCACATCAACGCCCACATACGCAAACCCACACCCACACCAACACCCGATATTTGCACGGTCTGTATTGCTGCAAAATATAGAAAATGTTGTATGAAATCAATACCTTTTCCCGTATTCGTATGGATTAAATTACCTCGTTCTTTTATATGCTGAGATTAAGATAATTTTTTCAGTTTGCACATTTTATTCAATTCATTTTCAGATACTCATCGATTTTACTGATATTTAAATCATTTATACACATTCCAAATGGCTACAGGTGGTGAAAACGAAAAGATGGCTCAACGTGTTCTGCGTTTGACAGATATTGCCGAAGAACCAAGTGAATTTCTTATGCCTATCAGTGGTTATGAGAAAATGCCGCTTGTTTCGCTTGAAGAAGCGGTTGAACCACTTGTGCCAATTTTACCAGTAGTTAAAAGCTACGCACATGCAGCCAAACAAAAATCCAAGAAGACAGCTGATAATTTGACACCAGATGAGTCGGCTTCAATAATGCTCTATTCAATGGGATGGGAGCCGCTGGAAGAATGTCTTTATTTTGCTTTAAATGCTACTCTACGATCAACAAATCGAGCAAAACTTAAACCGTGGTTTCTCTATCTTCGGCTGTTTCTCACGGCATTATTTCGCCTACCTTCGGTTCCTAAGCTAACGGTGTATAGAGGTGTAAAACTCGATTTGAGTTCACAGTTTCACAAAGGCGAAACGGTCGTATGGTGGGGTTTTTCTTCATGTACTACGTCCGTCGAGGTTCTGCAATCAGAGCAGTTTGTAGGTAAAACAGGTACAAGAACAATGTTCAACATTGAGTGTCATACAGCGAAAGACATTCGCAAGCATTCGTTTTATCCATCGGAAGATGAACTGCTTTTACTTGCTGCTACTCAATTCCACGTGAAAGGTATTCTTGATCAAGGTCACGGTCATCACACTATTCAGTTACAAGAAATTCAATCTCCTGAACCATTACTCATTCCGCCCCCACTTACTACCGACTCGACTTATTCATCTTCCGAGAAACTCCACAGCCTACAAACGAATAACGATGTGACTGTATCCGATGCCAATCCAATTCAACCTGCTATAAGTAAACCAGAATGCAACTCACTACAGCAAGCAGACGTACCAATGAAAATTCCACCGACGTCTGGTATGTATTGGCATAGCGGGGGATGTGATTGATATTACAGAAATTTAATCTTGCTGCCAGAGATCATAGTTGACTGTTCCTTAAATAATCATGGGAGATACTCAGCTGCAAAGCAACGGTTAACAGAATGTTGTAAAGCATTTTTGGCTATCTTATAGTTTAATTGTGTATCAAAGAATCTTCAACATCGAGCATCTAACTTCGAAAGTTTTAAAAATAATGACAGTTCTAGAAATCTGTGAAAAATTAGAAATACTGAAAGCAAACAAATTTTTAAATTTGTTTCAGCTCATGAAAATAACACGAAATAGAAACCAGTGAGCGTAGCATTCACTCAGACGAACACCTCTGTCACTTTTTCTTGTGAGAACCACAACTAGAAATGTTTGATAGTGAAGTAGCTTGCGCTTATAAGTGTGATAAATCAGTGGAACTCTGATGATTTCAAAGTTTTTCATCTAGAATAGTTCGTAAAAATTATTTTCTATGAAGAGAAGCCATATGTTTTGAATGGTATACTTGTGAATAATTGTTTTTTCGATGGCAAATATCATCTAGTTCTGATTTGTTTTGATAAATGACCTCAGTGTTTCTGCTCTGACAACAGAATATATTTGAGTGTCCAACCTAAGAACGAGTTCAAAAGTATTCTATGTATCAGAGACCTCGATGAGTATCTCGAATATCAATATCTTAGCTGCCCCAGTTTAGGTCTCGAATAACTAAAGTATCAAACTTTTCCATTTTTAGGCTCTTTCTTACTAGTAAATGTACCATGTTCTTTTACGGTTTTTCTTAAATTTGTACGAGCAAGCAGCTTTCTTTGGGACAAAAAACTTGAAATGATCATAAATCGATACAGAGGAACTATGTCGTCATAACTAGTGGACATATCATATCTAGGTTTTTCAAGCAAATGCTTATCTGATCTATTACTCAGCGTTTTCGAAAACATAGAAACGCAGAAGATATAGATAACTAAGTAGGAAACATAGATGTGATATGTTCACTAGTGATAACGACATAGCTTCTCTATATCGATTTATAGTAATTTCAAGTATTTTTTTCCACAGAAAACTGCTTGCTCGTGCAAATTGAAGGTGTGGGTGTGGTTTTTCTGATCGATCATACCCACACCTCACATCCACACGGACACCCAGAGTCGTCTTAATCGTTTTTATTATCCACCAATGTGGATACAATTTCGGTATTGTTTCAGAGAAAAACAAGTTGTGGTAAATGGGTGTACTCACAATTCTTGGTTCATTCTCTTCTAACACCTGTGAAAAAAGTTAGTTTTAAAGTAATATTATTCGCTCTAATTAGAGCAAAAAGTATTCACCTTTTTTATTTTTCATATTTATGTACAAAGACGTACATGTTCCAAATCTAGATGTTTTCGATATAGTGTTTTATTTGAATAACATGGATCAAACATTTGATAAAGAACAGTCTTTCTACTTTCGTGAACTTCGTTTTCAATAAAGAAAACTACTTGCTGTTTAATGGGTTTAGTTGAGAATTTTTCGGTGAATCTTTTATTATGAGTAGTTATCTAATAAAAATTTTTGTAGTTGAAATCTCAACGGTTGTTGTTGAATTTTATAGAAATAATATTCAATTAATTAATCATAGTTACATGTCAAAAATAAGATAAAACGCACAAGGCTTTAAAAGAAAACGAATTATAATAAATCTTTGAGCTTGAAATTATTTTCTTGTGAGCAATCTTGCATTTCGGTTTTTATCGTCAAGTTTCTGTGAAGATAATTTAGCAAATATCCAAAATAGCAATATATATAAACTTCTCCAATAACAATTGAATACTCATCAAAATTACAATTCATGCACATGAGATACAATATCACTATGACGTATTGTAGTCAAAGGATGATCTAAAACAATGTTCAATTATTTGTCAGACTGTCATGAGTCAAGAAAATTGAAGAGTAAATTTCTTTTGAAATAAACATAAATTATTGACTTTCAATTAAATGTTAGCAAAAAAGAATCTATAATTTTATTGAAAACAAAAGTGTAGACGACTTGCATTGTTTAAGTTTTAATCAGTACTCAATCAAGTTTCTTTTGAGACAAGAGTTAAAAATTATACTACGTGATGCTTTCTTTAAGTCAAATCGATTCAAACTAAAAAATTCTAAAAGGAAGCTGAATCAATTATTTTAGAAAATTAAAATACATAGAGAAATTCAGTTCTGTTCTTTTGGAAAGGAAAGTATCAGTTCTACTTTCTGCTTTTTATTCAAAACCTTGCATTTTGCTATGAAGGACCACCATTCTTTGCGTTCTTCCGTCCATTCTTATCATGAAATTATGTAGTAATTTTTTTTAAATAAAATAAAATATTCTTATTCACTAATCTTTACTCAAAAGTAAAATATTCATTTCATTCTTCTTGAAGCATGAAAGTCACATTTCTAGTCGAGACTCGTTTTAAGACATCATCATACTAAAATACATCATGGACATTATTTCTGGTATATATTCTTAGTATTTTTCACAGTTAGTCAATTTTTTTATTGAATAAGTTTATCTTTTGTATTTGACCAAGATGTTTATCACATTGTCTTCAGATGAACTTGATTATAAAAGTTGAAAACTAAGTGTTTACTTCTAAGAAGATGGCATATATTTCAGAGACCCATCCGATTATCACAACTTTGTATGCTAGTGAGAGAATTTATAAGTAGTCGTTCGATTATCAAAAGTTCTTCGCTTAAGAGCAAAAGAATTTCTTTGATTCTATCCATGTATATCTACAGATATAATCAATCTATGATTCGAGACAAAACAAGACAGCAGTACGGAGAATCTGTATCTATATATGCTTTATGAATGATGAGGTGATCAAATATACCGGACGAAAGATTCATATTCTAATATAAGTGGTTTAGATCGTTTTTCTTTGGTGATTAAAGTTCAAGTAGTATTTTCCGTTGAAAAACTGTTTTTACTCAGAAGAGATACATCGAAATAATTGATTAACATTTTAATTATCAATGGAAATTTTCAAAATTTTGCAGAGTTGATATTTTAAATAATTATGAAACTTGGGTTTCATAATTAGTACGAATATGAGATTTACCACTTCTTGTTGGTCTTCCAGCAATCAGTTTGAAAATTAGTAAGAATTATTCAATATGAAATAAAGTTTTCAAGTCAGGAATATGAGAAGAATAAAGTTAATTATATTAATGAAATAATTAAAAACTTTTAAAAATGAAACGTTCGTAAAAAAGAACTAACTTGACAAAGTTCTGCGTTTTCCAGTTATCGTTTGTGTCCTGTATCAAAGAACGATCAAATACGTCTTCATGCATAGAAATACACAATTTTCTAAAGAATTGAATAATGAATCTTCTTATGAGAAAAACTTGTTGTGAAATGACTAAAACATGCATAGATACTTAGAAAAACTCTATGATTGTCATTTATTTTAGTCTCCCTCTGTTTATTGTTTTCTCGTCATTCTGCTTCCAAAAATTCAAGTTATGGCTCTACGCGAAATAGTTATAATATAGCACATGAAATGTTATTATAAGAAGCTGTAATCAGAGTAGCGGTCATGCTATGTTTGCATTTGAGGATTAGACATTTCTCCGCCATGCACTTTATTGTGCTGTCAGATATCTGCCCCGCACTTTTTATCAACGATATTTATTTTGAATAATACACTCAAATAATTTGGTCACTAGGCGGTCGTTTCCACTTGCATATAAATAATTAAAATTGTATTGTTATTTCCGGT